TGGGTGGCAGGGACCCAAGTACTTGAGCCATCACCTGTGTGTTAGCAGGAAGGCAGATTCTGGCGCAGAGCTGGGCTTCAGCCCAGGCACTTTGATGTGTGATGTGGGCATCCCAAGTGGTGTCTCAACCAGTGTGCCAAATGCCCACCAGCGGGCTATTATTAAGTGTGCCTGTGATGTCATCCATTATGATGGAGGTAGGCTTTTGACAAGATGCTACTTGGGATACCTGTATCCCATATTGAAGTGCCTGGGCTCGAGTGCCAGCCTGCCTCCCATTCCAGCTTCCTGCTAATGTGCACCCTGAGAGGCTGCAGGAAAGGTTGAGAAAAGACAAAATGTATGAATGACCACTTAAGGTAATCAAACCCCAGGGATGGAGGACTTGGTGGATAAAATAGAAAACAATGCACCTACGGCCATAAAAATAATGTATAGGGACAGTGTTGTGGTACAGTGGGTAATGCCATATTGGAGTGCCAGTTTGAGTCCCAGCTGCTCTGGTTCTGATCCATATTCCTACTTATGTGCCTAGGAAGGCAGTAGATGATAGCTAAAGTAATGGGAGACCAGGATGGAGCTCTGGGCTCCTGACTTTAGTCTAGAACAGCCCTGACTGTTGTGGGCATTTGGGGAGTTGAATCAGTGGATGGAAGATGCTATGTCTCTCTCTCTCTCTCCATCACTCTTTCAAGTAAATTAATTAATAACTATTTTAAGGGGCCAGCATTGTAGTGCAGCAGGTTATGCCATTGCCTGTGATGCTGGTATCCCACATCAGAGTGCCAGTTTGAGGGGCTGGCATTGTGGTACAGTCTGGCTGCTCCACTTCCAATCCAGCTCCCTGCTAATGCGCCTGGGAAGGCAGTGGAAGATGGCCCAAGTCCTTGGGCTCCTGCCATCCACCTGGGAGACCTGGATGGAATTCCTGGCTTTAGCCTGGCCCAGGCCTGGCCGTTGCAGCCATCTGGGGAATGAGCCAGCAAAAGGAAAATTTTTCTGCTTCTCTGTCATTTTGTCTTTCAAATAAATAAATAAATACATAAATAAATAAAAGGCTCTATAGACCAGGCCTTCTAAGCCCTTCACTACCCAAAGTGGTATGGAGGCAGGGCTACCTTGCAGGTTAACTTCATGGTTCTATCTTCAGCTCAGGGGGATTTAAATGCTTCCTAAGGGTTGTAGCACATTTACTGGGTGGATAGAAGCCTCCCTCTGCTGAACTGAAAAGTCATGAAAACCCTACTAAGAGAAATTATCCTGAGATCTGCTCTGCTCAGGACGGTAGAAGGTGGCAACGGATTGTGTCCCAGGCTTCAGGGCTGAGTTAGAAAAGCCAGGCTCCTGGAGGCCCTGGTTGTCTGGGGAGACCAAGAGAAACAATCAAACCGCAAAGAGAACCTTAGCTAAAATTGGCCAGGAAGCTCCTGAAAATTGCCTGAAGCTCTTACCCAGTGCCTTAACCTGCGTTAGAGCAGCCCCCAAAAGAAAACCAGCCTCAGCACGTTGGAGTTGCCCTATGGGAGACCCTTTCCCAGTGTGGCTGGCCCTGGAGCTGCCCACATGTGGAAAAGAGAACAGGAAGACCTATAACACAACTCAGGCAGGTGGTGACTGCTTTTAACTGATGAGCAAACAAGAACCCACCCTCCTCTGTTGAGATAAAGCTCCTCCCATAGGAACCAAGAGATTGGGTTCACATCAAGACTTGGAAATTGGGTTACCTCAAGATCAGCTAAATCCCATCGGGACAGCACTGCACTCGGTTCTGCTAAACACGTCTTTTTTTTTTTTTTTTTCCCCTAAAGATTTATTTGTTTATTTGAAAAGCAGAGTCCAGAGTGAAAAAGGTCTTCCATCTGCTGGTTCACTCCCCAGATGGCCACAACAGCCAGGGCTGGGCCAGGCCAAAGCCAGGAACCGGGGCTACTTCCCAGTCTTCCATGTGGCTGCAGAGGCCCAAGCATTTGGGTTCTGTTCTACTGCTTTCCCAGGCACATTAGCAGGGAACTGGATCAGAAGTGGAGCAGCCAGGACACAAGCTGGTACCTGTACGGGATGCTGGCATTGCAGATGGTGGCTTTACCCACTAAGCCACAATGCTGGCCCCAGCACGTTCTTTTAAATTACAAGATGTGACCTGTTGGCTTCACCATACCCAAGTGAAGAAGGCTCCCGAACTTGCGCTGAGCTTTCTGAGAGATACTCTTAGGGGCCCATGTCAACCTAAAACTGTTCTTCCCGGAGAGCAGGCACTGATGACGAGATAAGGGATCTTCTAAACACCTTGTGGTACTGTTGACTTGCTGGTGTCACCGAGAGGTAGGTTTCAGGCAAAAAGGATACACTGGAACAGGGGCAGACAATCTGAGCCAGTTTCTAAGTTCCTGGTCTCTGGGCAGGGTGTGGGGGGTGGGGTTTCACAGAATGTTGCAGGAAAGCTTATCTCGCAACATTGTCCTCAGAGGGTGGAGGGTCTTGCAACAAACAAGGACTAAAGCTGCAAGAAGCCAGGCTGAGTCTTTGAACATCCCTGGATGAGGACTGTCTGTTGCTTTAGGTTCCTGCTGGAGGCAGCAGATGCTGGCTACATCTTGGATACGCCCCTAACCTTTGCTATAAATGCCCTGGCCAACTACTTCTTGAGAAGGCAGTTTCTTTTTGGGAACCAGACCTTCTCACTGTCTCCTTTATTTGTCGCAAGTAAATAAAGCTTTCCTCGGAGCGACTTGGCTGTGGCTGGTTATTTGGCGACACTGCAAGTGAACAGCCCCATTCTGTCCACTAAGCCTTTGCCAGCCACTCCCTCCCCCGGTGAAGGCCCTGGTGCCCAGACCTCCGACTCCAGGATCCACCTCCAGGCACTGCCCCGCTTGGTGGGAGTGGAACATAAGAAAGGGCAGGAAGGCAGGAAGCCAAGGCCTGAGTCACGGAAGGGCTGGACCTGGCCAAGCAGGGTATAGGCTGCAAGGGAGAAGCCCCAGGGTCAGAGGGGAAGGTGAATCCTGCGACTTCTCCCTGCTGGGCTTCGTGACCTCGCTGTGCCCACAGAGAGTAGACAAGGCCTCTGAAGGAACCAGGCAAGGACATGGACCAACCTGCACCTCGGCAATGTCTAAAGAGGGCCACTGAGCTACCGGGAATAGAAATAAACCAAGTGCTACAGAGTACCAAGCTGCTGTATAGAACAGGCAATTGCTAAATGCACTGGCGGTGTGGGACCCTGTGTCTTCTGCCAGGCACATTACGGGGAAGAAAGCCAGGTGCGGAGAGAGCAGTGTGTGGAGTGTGTTAACCAATTACAGAGTGAGACCCGGGATGCACTCACTTCTAACCACTGCTGCTGCTCCTGTAAGCCGGGTCAGAGCCACCAACACGTCCAGCCGGTTTCATGCTCATTACCTCCCAATAGGTCTCTCACACCCGGCACTTGCTCCTCCAATGCCTGTTTTCAACACAGCAGCCAGGGTGAGCCTTTGTACATGGAAAGTCAGTTCCCACCCAGCAGCCTGCCCGCATGCATTTCTCTTGGCATCAAAGCTCAAGTGCTTACCTGGGCCCTCCACAGCCTGCCCCGCCCTTCCCCCCCAGCTCCATTCTGCAGTCTCTATCACTTCATAATACCTATATGCTTTTTTAAAAAATTATTTATTTGAAAGGCAGAGCTACAGAGAGGCAGAGGCAGAGAGAGAGAGAGATAGAGAGATCTTCCATCCACTGGTTTACTCCACAAATGGCCACAATAGCTAGAGCTAGAACGATCCGAAGCCAGGAGCCAAGGAGCTTCTTCTGGGTCTCCCACGTGGGTACAGGGGCCCAAGGACTTGGGCCATCTTCTACTGCTTTCCCAGGCCATAGCAGAGAGCTGGATCGGAAATGGAGCAGCCGGGACTGGAACTGGCGCCCATATGCGATGCTGGCACTGCAGGCAGCGGCTTTACCCGCTTTGCCACAGTGCTTGCACCTTCCCCCCCTTCTTTTGAATGTTTCTGGTTCATCTGTCTTCACCCACCTACATTCACTGAATGTGAGCTCCACAAGCACAGGGATGTGTTTTGTTCACTGCTGTATCCATAGCACCCAAACAGGCATGTAGTAGACACTCAATAATGTCTGTTGAGAGAATGAATGAAGATGCAGTCTCCCCATACACTATCTTTGGAATGCTCACGGAGAAATCTGTAACCATGGTTACCCCCAGGGGAAAGGGGGGGCGGGGGAGGGGAAGGGGCAGGAGACCTGTTTACTATGAGGAAGTCTTTACTCCAGGTAGGTATCACCTTTACAAAAAGAAAAGCCCAGAGAAGAGTTAACAGGAAGAGGGCTGAGGCAGACCTAGTCCAGGGACGGAGGTGGGGGGCCCCAATACCATTCCCAGGCCAGGACCCCAGGTGAGATAAGGTGGGCATGTGGGGGCAGCTAAGTGGGCCCCAAAAGGGCCAGGGCATGCTGGCTGGTGATCGGGCAACGCTGAACAAGCCCTGGGGCTGTGGGGGGCGAGTCAGCGTGAGCAGCGTCATGTCCGGGCTGCGTGTGCCTGCCACTGTGAGTCGTTCAGGGAGGGAAGTCAGGAGTCGGCTGTCTGTGTGTCTGGGCAGAGCTGTGCTGATAAGCCTCAGGGCCCTGTGTGGCCACACAGGTGCTTTCTCTTGCAGCTCATGGGGCCCTACTTCCTCCATGAGCTGGGGACTTGCACCAGCCCGGTGCTTTCCCCTACAACCCTCCCAGCCTAGACCAGGCCTCCGGTTTGAGAAAGGGCTGGGTCCTCTGGGTTCCCCATCCTAACACCCAGGGCCTCAGAGAGGACCCCGCCCAAGCTGGAACCCTCCCTACCCGCCACAGGTGGGGAGGAACCTGGCCTTTCTGCCCTCTGCTCTCCACACCCATGCACCAGTGAGTCAGGCAACATGGCTTCCAGTCTCTTCCTCTGTTTCCTGCGGGGTCTGCACCCCGGCCCCCAAGGCCCTTCCAACAGTCACTTTGTCTGAGTCCCCTTCATATGCTTAGAACTTGGGGTCTCAACACCCATTTATTACACATCTACTCCAGTGATTCTCAGAGATCGCAAGGGCAGCCAGTCCCTGGTGTGAAGAGAGCATGGTACCGTCTTCCGAGTGGGCGGGCGGGCTCACTGTGCCAAGCCTGGAGGAGAGCCAGGTCCTGCTGCAGTCTTACTGGGGTCTGAGCCAGCAGGCCGAGCTCGTGCCCACCGGCGGCAAGGCAGGTCTGGCAGATGGCACAACTCAGAGTGGGATGCACACTTCACTCTGCGCTTGTCGCCTGTGGCCCAGCCGTGGTGGTGGTGAACAGCTGGCCCCGGCAGTCTCCATGCAGGTCAGCTGCGTGCTGAGGGAGAGAATGGTGAGTTGAGAGGCAGGCTCCGCCACAGAAGCCAAGCCGTGCCTCTCGTCCGTCTGCCCTCCCCTGCCCACCTGCATGATGCCAGCCCGGGTGCCCCTGGGGAGGGCAGGCAGGTGCCCGCTGCCGTTAATCCAGCAGTTCCTTGACACACCAGCAGCAGAGGAGGATGTAGGCGACTTCCTTCAGGGTCTGCAGCAGGCTCTGCCACCCTGTGCCCATCTTAATGACAGGCACCCGGAGCCCAGCATCTCGCAGGACCCCTCCGAGGGAGAAGGGCAGGACCTGGGCTAGGGGCTGTGTCCGGAGCTGCATGTGGGAGCAGTTCTGAGGAAGGGGGTGGGAGCGGCCTTGGGTGCCTTTTATCACCATTGTCCCCTCCCCCTCAGGCCTCATGACTGCAGAGACAAAGGCCCCAGGGTCTAGCAAAGGGAAAGTTCTGGGCCTGGGAGAGGGCTGAGTCAGCCCCTGTGGACAGGGACAGGGTGGGGCTAGCCGAAGGGCAGCCAGGCCAGCTCAGCGTGGGTGGTGTCCTGCCTCGTTGCCCCTTTCCCAGTGGCTGCTACCACTCCTGCGCCCGCCCTCTGGTGGGCTCCTGCTGAGGCTGACATGGAGAACCATCAGCCAGAGCCCCTTGCCAGCGTGTCCTGCCCTCCTGCTGGGCCCCTCAGAGAGCACAGCCAGCCTGGAACTGGCAGCCTGGGGCCTGCTCCGGCCTCTTCTTCCCCCGCAGCAGGAACAGACCAGGAGAGCAGCAGGCACAGTGAGAGGCACCGTTTATTGACAGGTCACACCCCAGGACGCCTCCTCCTGCCCCTCTGGGCACCCGCGGGAGGTCAGAGTCACATGCGGGAGTTCCGCTCCTCGTCTTCATTCTCCAGTAGGTAGGCTGGGCGGTAGCTGGGCTGTCCCCCTGGGCTCAGGGACTTCAGGGCCGGGTTCCGTACTGTGTTCTCTTGACTCCCCAGCGATGTGTACCTGGGATGGGGAACGCGGAGGGCAGGTGTGTGCTGGGTGGGCTCTCCTGGTAGCTCTCTCTATCCCACCACTCTCCTGTCCTGCCCACACCCAGGCTCTTCCCCTGACAGCCTTACCCTCGGTCATACAGGATGCAGTAGGGGACAAACAGCTGACGCAGAAAGTCCCAGATGTTTCTGTAGCTCCAGTCCTGGGAGAGCAGAGTCACAGAGGAGTCACCAGTACTCCCCTGTCCCACCCCCACCCCCTGCTGGGGAAAGGGGGTCCACCCAAGGCTCTTCTGCCACCCCGGCCTCAGGGGAAGGCTTGCTACTTGACTGCTGTCTCCTGCTCCCGCTAAGCAGAGAGGAAAGGTGGCTGTCACTCTCCCTACTCTCAATCCACCCTCAATGGAGGGCAACTGTGGGAAGGGAGGGGGGCGTGTCTAAGACAGCACTGTGAAGTGCCACTTTTTGAGATGGAAGTGTTCTGTGCCTCTGCTGTCTAACTGGTAGTCACTTGGAACATGGCCAGTACAACTGCAGAACTTGTTTTAGTTGTATTTAAAACAGGCCACAGCAACATGGGCCTCCTGTATCAAGAGCAATGAAGGGGGCCCGGCACCGTGGCTCACTTGGTTAATCCTCTCCTGCGGCGCCAGCATCCCATATGGACATGAGGTTCTAGTCCCGGTTGCTCCTCTTCCAGGCCAGCTCTCTGCTGTGGCCCGGGAAGGCAGTGGAGGATGGCCCAGGTGCTTGGGCCCTGCACCCACATGGGAGACCAGGAGGAAGCACCTGGCTCCTGGCTTCAGATTGGCACAGTGCCGGCCATGGAGGCCATTGGGGGGTGAACCAATGGAAGGAAGACCTGTCTCTGTCTGTCTGTAACTCTACCTGTCAAATAAATAAATAAAAAAATCTTTTTTTTTTGACAGGCAGAATTAGACAGGAGATGGAGAAAGGTCTTCCTTTTCCATTGGTTCACCCCCCAAATGGCCACTGTGGCCGGTGTACCGCACTGATCCAAAGCCAGGAGCCAGGTGCTTTTCCTGGTCTCCCATGGGGTGCAGGGCCCAAGCACTTGAGCCATCCTCCACTGTGCTTCAGGCCACAGCCGAGAGCTGGACTGGAAGAGGAGCAACTGGGACAGAATCCGGCGCCCCAACCGGGACTAGAACCTGGGGTGCCAGCGCTACAGGCGGAGGATTAGCCTATTGAGCCACGGCGCCGGCCAATAAAAAAATCTTTAAAAAAAAAAAGGCACTGAGGGGCCAGTACTATGGCATAGTGAATAAAACCGTTACCTGTGGTGCTGGCATCTCCTCTGGGTGCTGGTTCCAGTCCCAGCTGCTCCATTTCTTATCTAGCTCCCTGCTAATGTGCCTGGAAAAGCAGCGGAGGATGGCCCAAGACCTTGGGCCCCTGCACCCACGTGGGAGACCTGGAAGACGCTCCAGGCTCCTGGCTTCAGATTGGCCTAGTTCCAGCAATCGTGGACATTTGGGGTGTGAACCAGCAGGTGGAAGGCCCCCCCCCCACCTCTGCCTCTCTCTGTAACTTTGCCTTTCATAATAAATAATCTTTTTTTTTTTTTTTTAAAGCACCAGTTTGAGTCCCAGATGCTCCATTTCTGATCCAGCTCCCTGCTAATGTACCTGGGAAGGCAGCGGATGATGGCCCAAGCACTTGGGTCCCTGCCACCCTTGAGTGGGACCAGTGTGATGTTCCTAGCTCTTATTTGGCCTGGCCCAGTCCTGCCTGTTGTGGCCATTTGGAGAATGAACCAACAGATGGTAGATCTCTTCCAAAAAAATAAATCTTAAAAAAAATTGAGCTCTAATTCATATGCCATAAAATTTATCTTTTTTTTTTTTTTTTACATTATTTACTTGTTTGTTTTCATTTATTTGAAAGGCAGAGAGACACACACGGGGAGAGGGAGAGAGAGGACACCCCCCCTTTTCTGGTTCACTCTCCAAATGGCTGAAATAGCCAGTGCTGGGCCAGGCTAACGCTGAGAGCCAGGTGCTCAGGCCAGGTCTCCCTGGGGTGGCAGGGACCTAAGTACCTGAGCCATCACCTGCTGCTTCCCAGAGTGCAATCAGCAGGAAGCTGCAATCTGGGACAGTGCTGGGAACCCGGCCACTCCAATGCGTGGTGTGGGCCTCCCAAGCCACGTGTTAACTGTTATGCAAATGCCTGCCCAAATTCATCCTTTTAAAGTGGCCTTTAGCAATTTCATTTCAGTTAATTAAAATTTAAGCAGAAATAATGGTCCCTGGCTCTCGCATTGGATAGCACAGGTCCAGGCTGCTTTTCTGTTCACAGATGCTTGCTAGTGAATTAGTGCTCAAGAAGTATTGATCGAACGGATGAATGAACCAACAGCTCTGCCTCCCTCAGGTGATGGGGGCCCTTCATTCAAGCCCCAGGTTTTTGCCTCGCACCCAGGGGAGCCAGGGTGCCGTGACGGACAGGGCAATGGCGCATGCTCTTCCATTACCAGCAGTGGGTTGATGCGCATGAACGAGGGCCAGCCTGGGTCCGTGGGACTGAAAGGGCAGAGGCTACAGGAGTAGGGGTCAGTGCGGCGCGTGCCCATCAGGACGGCCTCCAGCTGGGGGTGCTGTGCCTGCAGCTCGCCCAGGGCCTGCTTCATGTCGCCCTCAGCCTCCAACACCTGCAGGTTATACCTTAGGAAGGACCAGAAGTGGGGTGTCAGGAGCGGGCCCTGCCCAGCCTCCCTGGGAACCCAAGCTTCCAGGCCCTAGTACCTCTTAATGGTGTCCTGCAGAAACTGCTCCAGCTCAGGGAACGGGGAGATGCTGCGGATGTACAGGATCTGGAGGGGTTTTGGAACGTCAGGGAACTTCCTGGGGGGTGTGGGGGGGAAGAATCCACAGGCTTGCCAGCATGGACACGGAACAGCTCTCCAGAGAGCTTGTGGTTCTCTTGGGGCCCTGGGGCAGATACCCGCCTCGGCTCCTCTTCATCACACCCATTATCGCTGGAAGCCCACTCTGATCCATCACCTCTTAAGTCTCAGCACGCACCCCTGTTTCACTTCCCCAACAGGACTGTGGTGGGGGATGGGCCCAGCATGCGGCAGGTGCTCGGGAAGTGTCGTGGGGCAGTGGGAGTGCTGGGTCACCGTGGCCTCCTCCCGCCCTCTCTCCCTCCCTCCCAGGACAGACCAGGTAGGTTCCAGATCTCGGGGGCTCGCCCCAGCGGGTGGGCTCACCTCTGCACAGCCGCGTGGAAGAGGTGCAGGAGGGCCGTGCAGTCCTTGCCCCCGTTGAAGCCCACGCAGAGCTGCGTGAGGCTGTACCGGGCCAGGGCACTCTCAATGGTCTGTAAGGCGCCGGCCACCTTTTTCCCCAGAGAAGACCCTGCCAGGCAGGTGGGGGGGAGGGCCTCAGATGGACACCCAGGGCTGTCAAAGGGCAGTGGGGCCACACTGCGCTACCTTCCCCCTTCTCCCAGGACCCAAGCTCTTCAGGCTTTCGTCTGCCTAGCTCACTACTTGGCCACACCTCACCTTGTCTCCGTCTCAGGGTCTTTCCCCTGCGTGGGGTGTGTGTCTTGGTTTCCTTCCATTCCCCTAAACCCCACACTTCCTTCTGGGCCCTGTTTCGTGCTGTTTGCTCTCACCCACCTCCTGCTCAGACCAAGTCCTCCTCACCGCCTAGGCCGCCCTGCCAGAGAAGCCTCTCTCACCGGCCTAGATCTAGGTGGCCTCCCCGCTGTGGAGTCCCCTTCTCCTCTCACGTCTGGTGCACGCTCACCTGTTTAATGCCTGCCTGCCTTGTGAAACCACCGCTGTGTGGAAGCAGGGCCTGCATTTGCCCCGCTGAGCTACATCCCCAACACCTAGCACGGTGCCGGTGACAGCAGGCACGCAGGCCAACACTTACTGGAAGAATGAATGAAAAACAACAGCCCTCTTCTACCCCGTCCTGTGCCCACAGGAAGCCTGAGCAACTCTGGTGGACCGAGACCTGGAGTGGCACCAGGGGCCTGGTGCATGCTGCCCCTCCCCGCAGGAGGTCCCCCTACCTGCTTCAGCGAGCTTGTACACAGCTTCGCCGGCCTGCTCCACCGCGTTGGGCAGGTAGGGGACCAGTGACCCCTGGGGCAGGCGGGCAGTCAGGTAGGCCAGGCATTCCTCCAAGGGCCCTTCCTCCTCCGCATCTAGAGTCAGTTTCACCTGGTAGTAGTTGCTACCCCAGTCAGGGTAGGAACCCAGGCCGAGCCTATGCCCAAAGTGGGCCTGGGCCTCCGCCAGGATGGGGGCGATAGAGGCCTCGGCGGCGGCCACGTACAGTTCCCGCGAGTGGAATTGGACAGCTGTGTTTTGGAACAGTTCCTTCAGCCCCTCCAGCACGCGCCTCAGCAGCTCTGGAATGCCGGGGAAGAGGTAGACGTTTCGGACAGAGACCAGCGGGAAGCGGAAGGGCCGGCCAGTGCGAGGGTCTGTGCCGTAATGCAGGCGGGCGGAGGAGGGCACCAGCGACAGCTTCTCCCAGCCCTCCCCTCCAAAGGCTTTGATGGCCGCCTCCAGCTCGGGGTGTGGCTTGAGCTGATCCCCAAAGGCCTGCGCCACTGCCTCAAAGGTCACATCATCGTGAGTGGGGCCGATGCCGCCCGCGGTGAGCACGTGCGTGAAGCGGCTGGAGAAAGAGGTGATCTCCGCGGCGATCGTGGCGACCTCGTCAGGCACGACAGAGACTCGGCACACCTGGACCCCCAGGGAGCGCAGCGTCCGGCACAGAAAGTAGGTGTTGGTGTCCTGAGTGTGTCCCTGGGGTGGGGTGGGGTGGGGAGGATGAGACAGTCAGTGCTCTGGGGACCAAGGGCAGAGAGGGAGGGGACAGCTGCACCTGCCTAATGACGGGTGCTCTGTTCTTCGGGGGACCCATGACAGTGTCAGCGCCCTCGCTCCGAGCCCTCGTGGCGCAGCCTCGCTGTACCCCTGGCTGTTGTCCACGGCCGCTGAGGCCCTTCGTCCTGCCAACTCTCCTCGGAAACGTCTCCCGGCCTGTCCTCGCTGCCACCAGGCAGGTCTCAGGAGCTTCCACCCGGACACTGGCAAGAGCCTGCTGGCCGGGCACGGGCTCTGCTCCGTGTCTGCTGAGTAGCCTCCCTAAGGTGTCACTGTCCTTGCAGCGCTCGGGGCTCGGCAGCCATTTGTGGTTCCAGCTGTGCACAGGAGAAAGTTCACGTTCCTCTGCAGGCAGCCGGGGCTGTGTAGGCCGCGCACCCTCTTCTTTTCCAGCCCCATCTGCTTCTACTTCCCCACAGAGGATTGACTGGTTAAGAACTTGTGATCCAGGGGCCAGTGCTGTGGCACAGGAGGTGCTGCCTGAGGCGCCGGCATCCTGTATGGGCGCCAGTTTGAGTTCCGGCTGCTCTGCTTCCAATCCAGCTCCCCGCTAATGGCCTGGGAAAGCAGAGGAAGATGGCCCATGTGCTTGGGCTTCTGCATCCATGTGGGAGGCCCGGGAGATGCTCCTGGCTTTGGATCAGCCATTATGGCCATTTGGGGAGTGAACCAGCAGATGGAAGACCTTTCTCTCTGTCTCTCCCTCTCCCTTTCTGTAACTCTACCTCTCATATTAAAAAAAAAAAAAAAAAGATATATTTATTTATTTGAGAGGCAGTGGCAGAGAGAGAGAGAGAGAAAAGTCTTTTATCTGCTAGTTCACTCTCCAGATAGTGGCAATGGCTGCAGCTAGGCCAATCCAAAGCCAGGGCCAGGAGCTTCATCTGGATCTCCCATGTGAGTGCAGGGGCCCACGGACTTGGCCATCTTCTACTGCTTTCCCAGACGATAGTGGAGCTGGATCAGAAATAGAGCAGTCAGTACTTGAACTGGAGTCCATATGGGATGCTGGCACTGCAGGTGGCAGCTTTATCTGCTACACCACAGCGCCGGCCCCATAAACAAATCTTAAAAAAAAAAAAAAATTGTGTTTCAGAGTAAGGGAAAATCAGGCCGGCATCCCATGTCCTCCACTTCCTAGGGCTGTAACTGGACCAGCTTCTCAACATCTCTGAGCCTCAGCTTAATAACCCACTAATTGAGATTCATAATAATAGTAGCAATTGCATGGAGTTATTGTGAGAATTAGGAAAACCAGGCTTGTGATGTAATAAGCACCCTGCCAGCCCCTGGTAAGCTCTGAAAAAATAGGCACTGATATTACTCTTATAACATAGAATCTAACGCCTACTGTGTCCTGTAGTAAGACTTCCTGACCATTCCAGCACCTTCCTTCTAGCTTATTTATCCACTCTGCTGAGTGCTGTGAACAATTTTCAAATAGCCTGGATATAACTTGTAAGAATACAGAACACTGGGACAAGCGCTGTGGCGCAGGGGGTTAGGCCACTGCCTGCAACATCAGCATCCCCTATTGGAGCGATAGTTCAAGTCCTGGCTGCCCTGCTTCCGATCCCGCTCCCTGCTAATGTGCCTGGGAAGGCAGCAGGAGATGGCCGAGTGCTTGGTCCCTGCCATTCTTGTCTCCTAGACCCATGGAGTTCCAGGCTCCTGGCTTCAACCAGGACCAACCCCAGCCGTTACAGCCATTTGGGGTATTAGTCAGTGGATGGCAGATTTCTCTGTTGCTCTGCCTTTCAAACAAATCTTTAAAAAGAAATACAGCCTTGGGGCCGATGCCATGGAGCAGCAGGTTAATCCTCCACCTGTGGCGCCAGCATCCCATATGGGCGCCAGTTCTAGTCCTGGCTGCTTCTCTTCCAATCCAACTCTCTGCTGTGGCCCGGGAAGGCAGTGGAGGATGGCCCAAGTCCTTGGGCCCTGCACCCGCATGGGAGACCAGGAAGAAGCACCTGGCTCCTGGCTTCGGATCAGCGCAGCTCCGGCTGTTGCAGCCATTTGGGGAGCGAACCAACAGAAGGAAGATCTTTCTCTCTGTCTCTCCCTCTCACTGTCTGTAACTCTACCTCTCAAATAAATAAATAAAGTCTTTAAAAAAAAAAAACACAGCCCATGCACCTGCACCTCTGTTGCTTACTTGGGCTTGCTGTCACTGCTGGGTGGCCCCTCTGCCTTCTATCATAATGCTGGGTAAATTGCAGGGGCTTTGTTACAAGTTTTTCAACAGAGTAATTTTGAATGGATGAGGATCACCGTTCCTCCAGTATGCTGGACTCAGTCCAGAATCCTGCTGCGGCACAGAATCTCCCACCCAGATTCGCCTCCCTCAACGGGATCTGCAGCAGGCCCTTGAGGACAACCCCCCCCCCCCCCCCCCCGTCCCAGCCCAGACAAACCTTGAGGATCTCATCTCCAACAATGATGATGCCTGCCGTCACGCTGCGCCCCGGGGGAAGGTCAGAAGCCCTAGATGCCATGGTTCTGCCTTCTCTGCCCCTCTGCAGGGCCCTCCAGTAGGCACCCAGACCCCCAGATAGGGGCCGCAAGCACTGGAGGCCCGCCAGGTCTACGGGGCACTGGGGGCCATAGCCTGGGAACAGGGTCCTGGGTCGAGGGAACCTGGAGGAACCAGAAAGGACAATGGGAAGAGAGCAGGAGAGCGTGTTCTTCCCTAGAGGAAGCCCCTCAGTCTACTCTAACCAGACCCCTGACAAACCAGACCCGTCTAACAAACGTGTTCGCAAGCCCCTACCCATACTCTTAAAGGTCCTCTAAACTTGGCTCCAGTCTGCTTAAACTGTCCTACTTAAAATGACCTACCACTTTAAACGTCTCGGGTCAGCCGAGCCCGTCTCCTCAAGTGTCTGCTCTATCTTGGGCATCTGCACCTTTAAATATCTCTTCTGTTCAGGGGGTCGGCCCCTTTAAACGTCTACCTCAACCTGAGCCTCGGCTCCTTTAAATGCGTTCTCCCCTTCCACCCCCTACCAGAATCCAGCCGCCTTTTCCTGCAGCCGTCTGCACCCTTTCTAGCCCGGAATCCCCTCTTTGCCCACCAATTTTCAAACTGAGTTCTTCTCGGCTCTCACCTGCCTGCTTTACCCCTTCACCGGTGTTTTCCTCTTTCCTTTCCTCATGTCCCGGGACAGCTTCCGTACTCAAAATCCCGCCCTCCCCACAGGTACTTCATGGCGATTGGTCACTTGGGCTGTCCCTTAGACTTCTCTCAAGGTTCCATTGGTGTAGTTGACTGTCGCTCTCAGGCGCTAGCCAGCGAGCGGGAGCAATGCTGGGTTGTTATTGGCGACAACCAAATAGTCACAGCCGCCCGGAAACGCGGGGGCCGGGCCTCAGTCGGCGGGGAGGGCGGGGCCTGGGCCGGCTCAGCGGAGCGGATGAGCTGCGATTGGAGGTGCCCTAAGGCCTTCGGGGCGCTTCCATCTGGAGCTGGAGGTAGAGGGAGGCCGGATGCTAACCTCCGCTCACTCTGTAGTCAGTTTCTCATGTGCCTACGTTCCCCGTTTTCATGCACCATGACCACGTCTGGGCTGAGGACTCGGGGACTGGTACCGGCTCCAGAAGGGATTTGATTTTTGTAGCCGGAGTTGAGAATGATGACCGGTAGTGCCTGTGGAGTAGGCGGCCTGTTGGTGTGTGAAAGCTCCGTTTGCCTCCAGTGTAAACGATGAAGCCAAGCAAACTTGTCCAGATGGTGCTTAGTTCAAACCCTCCTTTCCCTGCCCAGTCTTTGGTTTTGTGGATCCGAATGAGGCAGTGAGTAGGGAGTGTCTGTATCTCTTAGACTCACAGCAGCCTAGCTTATTCCCATTTCGGTTGCTTTTGGTTTAAGTGCATCTTCAACTGTAATGTTTACATCAGTCATCTGGGGACCTTTAAAATGCAGATGCTGATTCAGTAGGCTTGGATGCCAGCACCGTGTGGTGCTGCTGGGCCCTGTCCAAAGTTCCTGCCATTGTTTGGAGGCGTGCTGAACCACACCTGGCCTCATTTTATCCTACAAAATCCCCGTGGATCACATCTCTGTTTGACAGAGAACAGGCTCAGAAAGGTGAAGGGATGCCTGAAACCACAAAACACATGAATGGAGGAGCCAAGCTGCTAGACCATTCTTTCTCAAAAAACAGAACTCCAAACAAGGCGACTTGCCTAATGATAAAGAGCACAGTATCCATGCATCCTGGTGATAAAGGTGAGCGTTTGACCCCCCCTCAAACAATTCTCTTCTGATCCTCTACCAGTTCTCAAGATGAAGCTCACACCAGGATCAGGTGGAGAGCTTGTTGAACACCGCGGGGCTCTCCCCTCCCTTTGGGAGTCAGTAGGTCTAGGGAGGAGCCTAAGAATTTGCATCTGTAACAAATGTTCAGGCGATGTTGATGCCTGTGTCCAGAAATGACATCTGAAGAACCACTCTTCTAGGAATGAATGGATGGCGGCAGGGAAGAGGGAGATTAAGCTCCTTTACTTTGTACTACCGTTTTCTAAAGCAAAGGGTAAGCTGTTTTTGGTGATATGTTTTCTTAAAGCAACTACTTCACATTTGTTTTCTCAAAGCTCATAACTACTTGCATAAAAATGCTAGAAGTCCCTACGTCAGTCCACACCCCAGACCTATTCAGTCAGCATGTCTAGCAATGACTCAGGCCGCGTCAGTACTTGTGAAGGTCCCCAGGTGATTCCAATGTACAAGTAAAGTCGAGAACCACTGACAGCACCCCCAGGCTGAGGACTGAGTCGCACAGGAGTCTCAGGCAGCACCTGGAGCACACGCGCGGCCAGTGGCCGACAGCCTCCTCCCTTCACTCGGGTGCCCTTCAAATATCAGGGCTACGTTAAAGGCAACCCCCCTGACTGTCAGAAACAGTTCATTTGTTTTGATGAGATGAGGTTGTCCCCATATAACCTCCACCTCGGACTAGCAGAGTGAAATATATATTTCCGAAGATGTTTGACAGCAAGTCTGCTTCAAAGTAGATTAAAAACCAATTACCTCAATGTTCAAATAAACCTCATTATCAGCGAAGAGCTGAGCTTCATTATTAAACTTCAGGGCATATAATTAGAACAACGACAGTGAAAGTGATGTTCAACCAGAAGGTGGGGGGGGGGGGAACCCTTCCAGAATTAGATTGATAAAAACTTCCTCTTTAATCAAGGCTTTAAACATGGAATAGATTTCTTGAATAAAATGAAGAGTTTCCAATACATTGAAACATAAAATCAGAAGTCACCATCCATACAATACTCGGCGGGGAAAAAAAACAGAACAGCAAGGTCACACGACCCCTGTGATAACCATGGTCTTACTCTCAGATGCTCTGCGGGCTACAGAACACACCGTGGCTTCTGGGGTCACATTCAGGGGAGGCCGTGGCCTGCAGAGCACTCTCGCTGGCTGGGCTGTGGTGGTGTTGGCTTTACTCATGAAGCAAAGCAGCAGGTACCAGCATATGTGAACAGTGTATTGAACATCCTTGAAATATCAGAGTGAGAAGAAGGAAGGGAGGCAACATAATGTTATCAGAAAGATGTCAGAAAGGAAGAACAGCTGTGTGGAGCTCGAGGCTGGAAGTGGCGCGCCAGCTTCATTTCTTCGGTTTCTTCGGTAGTGGCCGCCGGAACAGCAGGATGTGGGGTTCTGAAAGAGCGAGTGAAATCCGAGAGGAACTCGCACCATTCTGTTCTATGCATTCCACCCCCACCTCCCAACCATCACCCACTCAGATCTTTATAACTAAATTAAGATTTAAACATATGGCCTTAGAAGCAGACCCAGAAGTCGGGCCTGTCTGCCAAGCAGAGAATTATTGGCATCAGTTCCTTTGCTGTGTTTGTGCTGCCCTGGGGTGTCCTTTATTAGTTTTGCCTGGCAGCGTGGTGTCTGGTGTCTTATCAAGAAATATACTTTCCTTGGCTTATTTGGAACACATCCAAGAATTGGCTTTCTGGTGGGAAATGAAGCAGAAGCCATAACCAGGGTATATGTGGGCTTAAAAAGAGTGCCCTCTGATTGAATTTAGTGACAGGCTGTCTCTGAACTTCCCAGACATGTTACTATTATTTTCAGTCACTACAGCTTTGTTTAAACGGGAAAGGAGCAGGAAACGGGCCCCCCCATCTCCTGTTTTCTTGGGTTCTGTGATGGTATTCCTTCAGTCCTTCAGTATAGTAGTCCTATCTGGCTACATTTAGCCAGTGCACTGACCTGGTTCGTGGATCATATAATGGACCCATCCCTGACTCTGCTGAACGCCAAGGTTCCTCCATTCAGATTCAGACATCAAATGGGTTTTAGGGACCAGCTTGGCTATGTCCTTGGGCAACATAACATGCCTGCAACAGAAACATAGGGAGATGGGGCATTTGTGTTAGTACTGGATACAGCCTGTTGGACAAGTGCCTGTATATAAAGCCAAGAAAGGAAAAAGAGAAACTGGCTTCTGGAGTTTATACAATCTTTTTTTTTTTTTTTTAAGATTTATTTATTTGAAAGGCAGAGTTACAGAGAGGCAGAGGCAGAGAGAGAGAGAGAGTTCTTCTATCCACTGGTTCACTCTCCAGATGGCCGCAATGGCCAGAGCTGTGCCAATCTTGAAGCCAGGAGCTTCTTCCAGGTCTCCCACATGGGTGCAGGGGCCCAAGGACTTGGGTCATCTTCCACTGCTTTCCCAAGTCATAGCAGAGAGCTGGATCAGAAGTGGAGCAGCCAGGCCTCAAACCGGCACTCATATGGGATGCTGGCACTGCAGGCAGTGGCTTTACCCGCTACGCCACAGTGTCGGCCTTTGAGTTTATACAATCTTATTGTGGGGTAGAGGCAGCTGAAAATATAGGCCAAGTTATAAAAATTCTCACAAGACTATATATATAGTTTTAAATTTTATTTATTTGAAATGCAAAGTTAGAGAGATATTTTCTGTCTGCTGGTTTATTCCCCAAAAGGCCAAAACAGGCAGAGCTGGGCCAGGCTGAAGCCAGAAGCCAGGAAATTCATCTGGGTCTCCCATGTAGGTACGGGGGCCCAGGGACTTGGACCATCCTCTGCTGCTTTCCCAGACACACTAGCAGGGAGCTGGATTGGAAGTGGAGCAGCCAGAACTTGAACTGGTGCCCGTATGGCATTGTAGGTAGCGCCTTAACCCGTTATGCCACAACAAGGCTCCTCGCAAGGGTATATTAAAGAGTGCGAATGAGTACTTCCAGTGACTGAGTGCCAGGCACTGTTGATGTTCATTTTCTGTGCCTTTGTGGATCTTAGGGTTTTCTAGTAATTACCCACAATGTAACAGGCCCTGCAAAGAGCATGAAATGTTAACATCGATAAAGTGGGGTGTGGAAGACACATCACAGAGGTGAACTGTTAGTCTTCTTTCAAAAATCTTGAATCTCATTTTCCTAACTCTGAAGGGGCATGCCATGAGACTTGATTCTCTGACCAAGGATGAGTCTCCATGGCAAAGAAATGACTCCTCTGACTGGAACTGGACTCATTCAGATACACTTCATCACACGCAACAAAAATGTCCTAAATGCTCCCTCAGCACTAGTTATCAGAGGTTTTTTTCCTAAAGAGATAATTCTAGTCTAAATGTCTGAAAATAGCTGACATTCTAACCAGCCCCTGGCACAAAATCTGGCCTCAGTACATTAAAACAAAACAAAACAAACCCCTCTCTTAAACCAAAACGCCACTGCCAAACTAACAGTTACATCTTCCCAGGGACGAAACGAGTGATGTCTCCCAGCCCTGCAAACACGTCATAAGCATACAGTTGGAGTTCGCTTAGTTCGGATGTAGAGGAAAACAGCTGAGGGAAATAAAAGGAATGGAGTCTGAGAAGGATCTAGGATGATCCCAGCCTGAAGCTGGTTATGTGTCTGTAAACACAGCCCGAACCGGGCTGAGGGAAGGCACGAGAAAACCAAGCTTCCATTTCCCCCTCCATTCCAGGAGGCAAGATAAAAGCCGCAAGCCGTCTTAAATATTGCAATTGATACAGATTAGTGTGACGACAACACTTGTAGAATTCTGTCTTTCCTCCTTTTCCAATCTAATATTCCTATGGGCTCAGAACTTATCAAACCCAAACGCTCCCCCATCTTGGGCATCTGGCCATCCAGTACCTCCGGGACAATTCTGGTCAAGCTGTACTTTTCCCTTCGTTGCTACAGTGTCACCTGAGGGCTCTTCCAGGGAGCCCCCGCCCCTTCCTTGCCAGGCTGTGTGTCCCCACCACGCCCCGCTCACGGCCCGGGCTCCGCAGGCCCACCACCTTCTTCCAGCCGTCTGCCAGATTCTTGCTCAGAATTTTAAAGACCGTGAGATGCTCACATCCAGTAAACAAGTGAAACCTGCACGCACTCCACTGGTTCTCAGTGCTTCTCGGCACTTTAATCCCCGGCCCGGTCCTCGACGCCCCCGTCCTAAAACAAGCCAGACAACCACGCCTCTTTCCTTCCCCAAGAATAAGCAGCATTAACTTCCTCAGCATTCTCACCGCTCGCAGTGAGAACGCGAGGAAAAGGCCAGCTCCGCTGCTGCCACCTTCACCCAGTAGACTCCACAGCAGCTCCCAGTGAAGCTGAGACCAAGACCCAGAAACCCACAGGGTGAAGGTGGTCGGACTCATCACGCCTCCCCTCAACCGGGGGCTGACTCCAGACTCCACTGTTCCAGGGCGCCGGCCACCCCCCGCGCACGCGCCTTCCGCGTTCCACCAACCTCACACCCACCCCCGCTGGTCTCCTGCGCATGCGCCCCCTCTGTCGCCTCCATCCTCGCTACCAACTCCTCGTGCCTTCTCTTCTCCCGACCTCGCTACGGCCCCCCGCCGGCACTAACCGGTACTCGAACTCCTCGTCGTCGTACTTGTCCGAATAGTAAATCTGTTTGTGCGACATGATCGCTCTGCCTGCGGGCCGTCAGCCCCGCGCTGCCAACCTCCAAACAACTCCCAGCAGCACGCGCTCCCACCCTCTTTGGCCTCGCTTTCAAACACACCGCCCGCACTTCCCATTGGTCCTTTGGGCTCAAGGCGGGACAGCTCCACCTTCGAGCCTCCTATTGGCTTAGGATTTGCTTCTCCTCCAGTCTTTATTGGAGTGCGCTTCTTACGTTTCTCAAGCACAAACTTGGGTCAGAGATAGGCCTCTAATTGGTTATCGCGGCGCCTGTGAGCGCCTTCGCGCTACCATTGGCTGATTCAGGAAAGTAGGCGGGGCGAAGGAGGGACCGTGAGGTAGAGGGTCAGGGGTTAGTGAGGCCGGAAGTGAGTGTAATAAAGTTTCTCCAGGGAGGCCGGGCCGGGGAGAAAGTTGGAGCGGCGACCTAAGCAGGCAGTGGCGTGATCCGGAACCAAATCGGCCCGCGGCGCGGTGCGGAGACCCCATGAGGCCCTGGTGAGTTTTCACTTTTTTTTTTCTCTTTAGGCAACCCACTCCTCCACCCCGGAACCCCTCTCCCGGGACCCCACTTCCGGTCTTCACTGCTAAGTCCCGCCCCTGAGACCCCCTCTCCGGAAGTCCCACCTCCCAACTTCAGGGGGCTCCCTGAACCCCAGTTTTTAAATTTATTGTCTCCGACCCCTCCCTGTAGCCCAGTTTTCCTGGAAGTCCCACCCCCAGACATGCTTCCAGCTCTACAAGAAACGCTTCGTTAGTCCTCCCAGTTCTTCCAAACTCCGCCTCCTCCTCGCGACGATTCTCCGCTAACTCCTGTCTGTCAAAGATCCTATCTCCCAAAAGGGCAAAGCTCTGCTCTTGAAAGAACGATTCGAATTCACTGAGGCCACGCCCCTCGATAGGCCCCGCCCATAGAAGCCCCGCCCCTTCCGCAATCCACGTCCGATTGTCCCGGAGCCTCATCTCCTGGAAGTCTGCTGCGCATCCTAGAGGGCCACGCCCCCTAAGGAACTCGATCCGGGTGGCACCCAAGTCATCACCCCAGTTTCCTCAGTCTCAGAAGCTCCACCTGCTTACGTTTCCTGTCCTTTCTCTCTTGGGGCCTTGGGCTCAGTTTTCCCGAGGGCTTTCCCGCTCCACTAGGTGGGAGCTCTGAGGAGTGAGATTAGAGGCAGCCTTACCCTCCCCCAAGGGTGGGCCTGGGCTTGGGGTTTGGCCCGAGGACGGGACAGAGGCTTGCTCATAGTTTCCCAGCCCACCGCAGAAACAGCTGTAGGTTGAGGCTGTGGCTAGACAGGGCCGTGGATTTGCTGATGTGTGGCTTGAGGACGTGACAGGAGAGAGAACTTTGTACTACCAGAAAACGGTGGTTTGCAATGGGGTTAGGGATTTGTATCCTGTTTTTTTTTCTTTTTTCTTTTAAGGGACTCCTCAGCCTCTACTTGTTTGGCTCCATCCCCCGCACCCCCCAGCCAAAATTCTTGTCTGGGCATTCCTCCTGGCTCCACTTGTCCTGCCTTCCCTGCTGGAAACATTCCTCAGGCTTTCGCCATTTCCTGCCCCTTCCCGCTCCTCCCGCCTCCTCCCTGCTGGGCTCCCCCCTCCAACACCCAATCACCTGAACTTCCAGTAGGCTCTCACTTCTCCCTATGCAAATTTAGAGACAGACTCCCTCTTTTCTTTGAAATGCTCACACCTGTTGGTCATCCTCTGCCTGCCCATACTGCAGGCTTCCAGAGAGTGCTGACCCTAAGGATGAGGGTGTGTGTGTGTGTGTGTGTGTGTGTGTGGCTGTGGAAGAAACCTTTCCTTCTCTCGGCCTGGGGTCTTAGGAAATAGAGTGACAGATTCTCCTGCCATGAGGACGAAGAGGAGGTGAGAGCGTATCTAGCACATTTTAAGTGCTAGAATTGGTCATCGTTATAGATTTCTTTTAATCTTCTGACTTAGAGCTAAGGGTAATTCCGAGGTGAGCCTAGGGGAAGAGGTATCTACTTCTTGTGTTTTGGTCATTTTCCAACTTCCTCCAAGGCTTCCTCAAGCAGAGCTGTGGCAGGAAGCCACGGAGGTTTGGAGGTTTGGGACTGTTCTCCGCACATGGTTCACTGCCACATGTTTGCCTGCCTCCTGACCTCCATCGCTTGGTGACTCCTCCCCTGGTGTGAGGGGCACTGCTGGAGGAGGGCTGGGAGGATACCTGGTGGGCCCAGGGACTGCCCTGTCCTCACCCTTGCCAGCGTGCAGAACAGTGCTTGGCCACTGGCCACTGCCTGCTTGGTGTGGTGGGTGCCAGGAGCAGAGGAGGAGGCTTGACCCACACGTCCTCTGGCTGCAGCTCTAGCCTGCTGGCTCCTTGGTGGCCCCCTGGGGTTGGGCTTTTATTTCCCTGACTTCCCAAGTTTTGCCCTTCCTCTGGGTCCCAGTGTGCACCCACTGGGACCACTTCCTTCCTTTTCCCATTTCCCTAGTTCCATTCCACAGCTGCCCTGGAAGAGGATGCTAATGGCCTAAGCTCCCTGGGGCCCTCACCCCACTGGATGTGGCAGTGATGAGGGGTGGCCTGGGCTGGACCATGGAGGAATTTGCGTGTTCCAGCAGGACAGGAAGGGAAATGCTGAGCTCTGGGATCTCCTCCCTTTTCCACCCCCAGCTGCCTCTGTTTCCTCCCTCATTCCCCCTCCCCTCCCCTGACTTCCTGCCCATGTCCGGTTTGGATTGATCCAGACCGTCTCTTATCTCCCTCCTCTCCTTCCTCCTCCATCCTTTCCTCCAAACTCCCACTTCTCCCCCAGATCACTAGTTGTTTGTTTAGGGTAGGGGAGAGGGGCAGGATAGCTCTGCCCCTGCCTGAGTTCTGGGCTGGGGCGGCGGCAGTGGGGGCTCAGCCCCTCTGAGCCTGTGAGTCAGCACTGTCCTCCGGATTGGTCTCTCTCCTTAGCTCCCCGCCCCTGGGGAGGAGCCAGGCAGCTCTGGGTCCAGCCTGTTCTCTTCTCTGCCAGAGAAGAGGCTCCACGCTGGGCGGGGATGGGGCCTGAAACTGTCTGGGTCTGAGCTGGGGGAGCGGAAGCCACTTGCCCCTCTCCCTCCCCAGGACTCCTGCCCCTCCTGGGCCACAGAGGCCCGGCAGGCTCGGGGCCTGGGGATGCCCCCTGCCTGGCCCCCTTGCCCCAGCTGGCAGGGGGGCCGGGCCGGGCAGCAGCCCTGCTCTCGCCCCAGCCATGGATCTCTTGCCCCCCAAGCCCAAGTACAACCCACTTCGGAATGAGTCTCTGTCGTCGCTGGAAGAGGGGGCTTCAGGGTCCACCCCTCCGGAGGAGCTGCCTTCCCCTTCAGCCTCGTCCCTGGGGCCAATCCTGCCCCCTCTGCCCGGGGACGACAGTCCCACCACCCTGTGCTCCTTCTTCCCCCGGATGAGCAACCTGAAGCTGGCCAACCCTGCTGGGGGCCGCCTGGGGCCCAAGGGGGAGCCAGGAAGGGCAGCCGAGGATGGGGAGGGGATCACAGGGGCAGCCATGCCGGACTCAGGCCCCCTGCCCCTCCTCCAGGACATGAACAAGCTGAGTGGAGGCGGCGGGCGCAGGACTCGGGTGGAAGGGGGCCAGCTGGGGGGCGAGGAGTGGACCCGCCACGGGAGCTTTGTCAATAAGCCCACGCGGGGCTGGCTGCATCCCAACGACAAAGTCATGGGACCCGGGGTTTCCTACTTGGTTCGGGTGAGTGAACATCCTCCCCTGCACTCCCTCCCATACCCCTGCAGCTCCTCTGCTCGCGGCAGCTTTGTGGGACTCCTCCTGCTCTCCCTCAGCAGCCCCTCTGTCGCCGCGTCCTGCTTCTTAACCTTTCTGCCTGATCTCTGACCTCTTCCAGCTCTGCCAGGGCCCTCCTCCTTCTTTTGCCTACCCACCCCCACCCTGCCATGCTTCGCACAATGCCCAGCACCTCGGAGGCGAGTGTGGGCATGAGGACTCCTGGACTCCCCCCGGTGGACCCCTCCCGCTTCTGGAGGTGTCACCCATCCCACCCAGTGCCCGGCACTGCCCTCCAGTCTCCCCCAGTGCATGAGGCGCTCCCAGCTTGTCCTCTCTCTCTCTCTCTCCTCACTCCCCGTTGTCTTGTACATTGTGGGATGTAGCTGCGGGCAGTGAGCGAGCTGCCTCAGCTTTCCTTCCCTTAGGGACTATGGAGGGAAAAGTCCTAGGGCCCTAGCGCTGGGGTGGGGGGAGGTGGCTGAACTGCTGTCCCCCTCCCCTCAGTACATGGGCTGTGTGGAGGTCCTGCAGTCAATGCGTGCCCTCGACTTCAACACCCGGACGCAGGTCACCAGGTTAGTGGGGGGGAGGGGGAGGGCTTGTGGGAGTCCTGGGGTTAGTAAGGCTGTGGGAATGGGGAGTGGGGCCCTTGGTGCAGGTGGCCTACCTGTGGGTGGGCAGGTGGGTTGAGAGAAAGTTGGGACAGTGAGTCCAAGTGTGACTGAAAAGAGACACCTCTGGGCTGGATCCTTGTTACCTCTCCGGCCTTTAGAGTTGTGGGGCTAGGGCAGAAAGTGGGGTTAGACCGGTGGTGGCTGCTGCCTTTGGGAAGGGAATGGGAGGTTTGGTGGCTGGAAGGGGGTGGGGCCGTACCCATTGAGGCCCTAACCCAATCAGCCAGGAAGCGGCCTCTCAGTGTCATCAAATATTAAAGGCCCTTAATTCAATCCACCACGACAAAGAGCCTGGAGTGCCCTGGGAGTCTGGCCTGGCCCTCCCCTCCCCCAGCCCTGTGGCAGCCCCAGCCGAGTGGGAGGCAGCCTGTGGGTCTGAGCACCCCTCTTTCCCCAGGGAGGCCATCAGTCTGGTGTGTGAGGCTGTGCCGGGTGCTAAGGGAGCCACACGGAGGAGAAAGGTACCTGGGGTGGCTGGGGCTGGGATGGTGCTGGGTGATGTGGAGGGGCAAGGGGAAGGCAGAAGTGTTTCCTGGTGTCGGGAACCCTCGGCTTCTGAGACTCTGGGCCTTTTCTAGCCCTGTGGCCGCCCGCTCAGCTCTATCCTGGGGAGGAGTAACCTGAAATTTGCTGGAATGCCAATCACTCTCACCGTCTCCACCAGCAGCCTCAACCTCATGGCCGCAGACTGTAAACAGGTTGGTGGGGTTAGGTAGGGGGTACCAGAGACATGGGAGGTAGGGCTAGGGGCAGATGTAGTTGTGAGGCCAAAAACTAAGGTGGAGGGCTTTGGAGTAGCCAGAAGGTAGGAAGAAGTTAGGGTGAGAAGCTAAGAGAATGAGGCTGGGACGGCAGGGTTCTGGGCCAGGGGTGGGGGCTGACACATGCCATTCTTTTCCTTTTCCATCCCCCGTGCCAATTCTCAGATCATTGCCAACCACCACATGCAGTCTATCTCATTTGCGTCCGGCGGAGATCCGGTGAGTTGGGGAACAGAGCACAGGTTGGGGGGGGGGAGGGGAAGGGGCTAAGGATTGGGAAGCCATCAGCCAGGGCAGTGGGGGAGGTAGGGTTGCAGAGGTATTTGAAAAAGACTGGGTTTAGGCATCAGGAGTAAGGTGGAGCTGTAGAATTTAGCTAACCTGCCCCTTCTCACTCTGTCCGTCTTAGGACACAGCCGAGTATGTTGCCTACGTTGCCAAAGACCCCGTGAATCAGAGAGGTGAGGCATGGTGGGGCGCACTGGGTGGGGCGGGATGGCGGTGCGGCAGGTGAGGGGGACCAGGGCCGCCCTTCCCCTCTCACCGAGCAGAGATGAGGAGGGGCTTCTGCTGAGGAGGATCAGTACCCCACACCCCCGCCCGAGACCCCGCCTCAGAGCTCACCGGCAGCCTTCGCTGTACCTGCAGCCTGCCACATCCTGGAGTGTCCCGAAGGGCTTGCCCAGGATGTCATCAGCACCATTGGCCAGGCCTTCGAGTTACGCTTCAAACAATACCTCAGGAACCCACCCAAGCTGGTCACCCCCCATGACAGGTGAGCACGGTGGGGTGTGGGCCAGCTGTTGGGCCCCAGACCCAGACTGGGAATGCAGGTCTACTCTTCCCACGCCAGAGCTCGGGGAGGTTCAGGGAAAGAAATAACCTGTGTGCCCTGCTTCCTACTTCCTGCGATTCTTGGGTTTCCGGTGGCCATTAGGCCGCCTGCTGCAGGGCCAGCTCTTCCTCTCGCTTGCCTGTGGTGGGGCTGTATTTCAGGGCCTCCAAACTGCATTTCTTTCTCTGGCTGAATGAGCTTTTCTCTTCCCAGCCGCCACCTCATTACTAGCCTCGCCCTCTTTCTTGCCTATTTCTCTTTCATTTTCTGTGTTTTCCTATTTCTAGAAGCCACCAGGCTCGTGGATCTTGGAGGAAGGCTGTTTGTCCTGAGACCCCTTCCTTTCCCACTGTAGGCTTTAAGGAATGAGCAGTGGGCCAGTAGGGATGGTGTATTTGGAAGTTCAAGTCCTCCGGCACATGCCCTCCCCACTATTTCGTGCTTCCCCTTCCTCTCAGGAAATAGCCTGGTGGTCAAGGGCATGAGCTGTAAAGTCAAAGCTGAGTTTAAATCTTGCCTATAGCACCTTTTAGTTGGGAGATCTTGGATAAATCTTTTCACCTCTCACCTTAATTTTCCTCCTCTATAAAACTAGGGAGGGAAACCAGGAGGGTGAAATGACTGTACCTGGGAAACACCCAGCCTCAGGCCTGCGGACTGAAGGCTCGCTGTGTGTGTGATGTGCTGTGGGGTTCCCCTCGTCCTGCCCGGCTCTCCTGCGTACTCACACTCCTGTGCCTTCCTGTCCCTCCCAGAATGGCCGGCTTTGATGGATCAGCTTGGGATGAGGAGGAGGAAGAGCTACCCGACCATCAGTACTATAATGACTTCCCGGGGAAGGAACCCCCTTTGGGGGGCGTGGTGGACATGAGGCTCCGGGAAGGAGCTGCCCCAGGGACTGTTCGACCTGCTCCACCCAGTGCGCAGACCCCCAGCCACTTGGGAGCTACCCTGGTAAGTTGCTAGGATGGAGGTGGGCTGGGCCCAGGCTGGTTAGGACTGCTGGTCTCACCTTCCTTTATCCCTGCAGCCCGTAGGGCAGCCTGTGGGAGGAGACCCGGAAGTCCGCAAACAGATGCCACCTCAACCACCTTGCCCGGGTATGAAGGGAGGCAGAGAGAGAGGGAGCGAGTGAGCTGAGGAGGGAAGAGCCGGGGGTGCAGCAGGCAGGGCCAGGAGCACCACGGAGCATCCTTTTCCGCAGCAGGCAGAGAGCTCTTTGATGATCCCTCCTACGTCAACGTCCAAAACCTAGACAAGGCCCGGCAGGCAGGGGGAGGGGCTGGGCCCCCCAACGCGACCGCCAATGGCAGCGCACCCCGGGACCTCTTTGACATGAGTGAGTACTCCTCTCTCCTTTCTGCTTCGTCCCCGCCTTCCCACCTGGTTCCGTCTCTTCTGCCTTTCTGCTCTTTCATTCCTGGCCTCCCTTCCCTGAAGGTCTCCGTCCCGGGAGTGTGTTGTGCCAGCTGCTGCTCCTTGCTCTCTCTGTAACCCCCCAGAGCCCTTTGAAGATGCGCTTCGGGTACCTGCACCTCCCCAGTCGGTGTCCATGGCTGAGCAGCTCCAAAGGGAGCCCTGGTTCCATGGGAAGCTGAGCCGGCGGGAGGCTGAGGCGCTGCTGCAGCTCAACGGGGACTTCCTGGTGCGGGAGAGCACGACCACACCTGGCCAGTACGTGCTCACCGGCCTGCAGAGCGGGCAGCCCAAGCACCTGCTCCTGGTGGACCCCGAGGGTGTGGTGAGTGACAGAGGTGTGGACGTGGGTGGTCGGAAGTACCCTCTGGTGCAGTCGCAGCTGTCGGCCCCGCCCTCCAGCGCCCTCAGCGCTGTGCCTGAGCTGTGTTCATTACAGCCCTGGCCGGTACTCCAATCCCCAAACCTTAAGCCCCTCAGAGCCAGACGGTGCTCGTCTATTCTGTGTCCCTCCTTTGACAGATGAGGAAACCCCCGGGGAGAGGTTGTGATAGCCAGTGGTGAGGAGCCACACACGTGCAGGAGGAGCCGGGGGCCTCCCCAGGTCCCCAGACCAGTGTCCTTTCTCTTAACACTCAGTGTCTCACTGCTCCTCAAAACTTCCATTTCTCTTCTGTACAATTTCAGCCTCCTTCCCACTTTTTTTTTTTTTTTTTTTTTTTTTTTTTGCACAGTGAGATACGCCAACCCTGTCCAAATCAAGAAAGGCTTCATGCTTTCTGGACTGAGGTCCCCTTGCCTTTCTGTAGTTCCTTCACCTGCCCACTCTCACAGCTGTCTCCAGCTTCTCTTTCCAGGGAAGCCTCAACCAGCCATCACCCCCCACCCCCAGCCCCACCCCCGTCTTTTTCTCTTTGCTCAGCCTTCTCGACTGTTTCATTTTCTTCAAGACTTAAGGGCCGCCGAGGTCTTGGCTCCTCACCTGAATTGACCCCCCTTCCTTCTCACTTTCCCAGGTTCGGACAAAGGATCACCGCTTTGAGAGTGTCAGCCACCTCATCAGCTACCACATGGACAATCACTTGCCCATCATCTCTGCGGGCAGCGAACTGTGTCTCCAGCAACCTGTGGAGCGGAAACTGTGATCCGTCCCCGCGTCCCCGAGCTCTCACAGAAGACGCCCCTGCCTCCCCTTCCACCCTGTTCCCTGCTCTCAGGACTTCACTCAACGAGTGTTCTGTGGGCTTGGCCTTGGGTCAGAGCTGGGAGGAGGGTGGACACTGGGTTTTGCATTCAGCTGAGGGAGAGGGTTTGAGTCAGGAGCCTGGGGTAGAATCCTGCTTCTCCCCAAACCTCACCAAAGTATTAATGTACAGAGTGGCCCCCCCATACCTGTGCCAACCTGATGCCCCCTTCCCCAGGAAGGTGGGCACTCGAGATGGAAACGTCCCCTGGTGATAGGCCCAGTGGAGCAGTCACCCTTCTGGGGAAAGGGGAACAAATCACACCTCGGGTCTACCCCTGGGCTTCAGGGAGTCACAGACCACTCTCAGCCTTCCCCCCAGCGTTTAACTTTGTGCCTTTGACCATCTCCTAGGTCTGACGATATTTAATGCAAAGAAGTTTTCGGGCCCCTGAGTTAAGGACAGGGGTGCTGACGCCGTCTTGGCTCCCAGGACCCTGTCCTCCTTGCTCAGCAGCCTCTCCAGTTTGGGTTGGGAGAACAGAAGCAGTAGTGGCAGCTGTCCCCTCTCCCTGGGGAGGTGCAACCCTTAGAGATTGCCCCAGAGCCCCCCTCCCGGCCAGGGGGGAGATGGACCCCCTCCCTTGCTCAGTGCCTCCTGGCCGGGACCCCTCTCCCCAAGGGGTCTGTATATACATTTCATACGCCCCGCCCCTCCCATGTTGCATGCATGTTATACTCTACAGCCAAAGTGTAGCTCTTCCTCCTGTATCCCGGCTCTGCCTCTCCCTTCCCAGGGTGTGAACTGGAGCCTCCTGTACAGTTCACTCTCCCAGGAGGGTTCTGTGGAGGCGGGAACAAGGGCACTGAGACTCGAAAGCATTAGACAATCCCAAATACCATCTGTCGATTTGGAACCGCGCTCATTTTTACTTTGTATGCACATATTTTATGGCTGTAGGTTTACTTTCCTAATTTTGTTCTCCATGGCTTGTTCTTGAACACAAAATGATGATGATCAACTACATCCACACATCACCTCTTTGACTTTTCCAAGCCCTCTCACCACTATTGGCATTTTCCTCACCGGGCCTGCAAAGGAACTCGGACTGGCAGCATTATTATTATTTTTACAAAAGAGACCAGAGGCAGAAACGGATTTTGAGCCAGGACTAGAACTTGGACCTCTTACCGCAGGCTGGGAGGCAGGCGTTTGGCTGGCTGTGTCGATTTCACGAAGGGGGAACTTAAAGCCCACAGGTCCCCCAGTACCTTCTACACGCGGGGCCCTGTGCTAGGCCCACTGCAGCCACAACCACAGAAGAGGCCAGTCCTGCTCTTTAGGCCTGTGGGGAAGGGAAAGCTGACAATTTTAATCCTAGCCACCACCTCCTTTCGTGTGTTTGGATGTTTTCACGGGTCTCACTTATACCAAAGGGAAATAATCTTCATTAAAATCCGTATTTCTTCTACTTCGCCTTCTTAGCCACTCTTGCAAGCCCATTGTTCGCGCGGAGCCTCCGCGGCAGGAGGGGAGGCTCCAGGTCGCCGCTGGCCCCACCTGGCCTCACTTGGGGCCCGGCGCCGCCCGCTGGGCCCTGGGCGCCGGCCGACTTAGTGCCCGGTGGGCGTGGAGACCGATTGTCCCCGGGGGATGCGGCTGCGGAGGGGCCTGGTGCAGGCGGGGCGGGGCGGGGCAGGGTCCGAGGCCAGCCGGCGGCTGCCGGTGCCTCCTGGGCACGCGCCCCTCGGCCCGCAATGGTACGGTCCGGTCGCAGGGGCTGGCGGGCGGCGTCCCGCGGTGAGCTGGGGCCGGCCGCTCCCTAGAGGGCGACGGCTGTCTCCACTAGGGCCGCCCCGTGGTCCTCTCTCCCCTCTTCCTGCGTTTTGAGGCGCCGAGTCTCCCAGTCCTTGCTTCCCCTCCCCGCCGCGCTCGGTGGTGGCGGCCGAGCGGAGTTCCGGTTCCGGTCGCTGCTGCTGCCGCGGGCGGGCGGCGAGTCTGGAGCGGGCTCGCAGTTCGTGCTCCAGCTCGGCGCCTCCCCCTCGCCGCACCTTGGGGCTGCAGCAGCTCGGGGGCCTGTGCTGCCCCGACTCCCCTTCCGGGGGATGGTGCAGCCTGAGGGCGCCTCCATCCCCCGCCGCCGCTGATCCCCGGCCCCCACTCCATGGCCGCCTCGGCGCCGCCCCCACCGGACAAGCTGGAGGGAGGTGGCGGCCCCGCACCGCCCCCTGCGCCGCCCAGCACCGGGAGGAAGCAGGGCAAGGCCGGTGAGAGTGCTGAGACGGGGCGGGGGCTGGAGAGACCTGGGACTTGGGAACCTTGGAGGGGAGGGTGGGGTTGGTCCCAAAGGCTGAGAGCGGGGAGGGCTTGAAGGGACGCTCAGGTGAAAAGGATGGGTCGGTGTAGCGCTCCGGGGTTGGGGGCAGGTGTGACAGATTGAGGACTTTCAAGGGTGTGGAGCCACGTGGAATCCAGTCAGGTGGAGTCTGATAGTGTCAACAGATAGGGTGTCTGCTTTCGAGAAAGGCATAGCTGACAGTAGGGCCCCACTCAGGACACGTTTTTCATATGACACTCCTTTGTTAGTATTCGCGAAATAAATGTGTGTTGAAGTTGACCGAGTTCTTGGAGCAGGGCTGGGAGGAGGAGGTTGGAGAAACTCGTCTGCCTTTTGCTGCTCTTCCAGGTCTGCAAATGAAGAGCCCAGAAAAGAAACGCAGGAAGTCCAATACTCAGGTGAATGTTGGCTGGTGGTGGGCGTGATTGCCAGGAGCCCCTGGCGCTGTCCGCTCTGTATTGCGTCAGGTGCAGGGAGAAGGAAGGCGGTGGGTTCTGTTTCTGGTCCTCGCCCTCAACTTCCTAACAAACGTAGGGGATAATCCTTCCCCACGAGAGCCCCTTACCCAAGAGCTGGTCGGGCAGGGTTGCAGCCTTCTTTTTCCCCCATTTTTCCTGTCCTGGCTCCTTCAAGACAGCGTAGCAGGTAACCACCTAGCGAACCTTTTCTAAGTGCCAGACGTTGTGCCGAGGGGCCTGAATGGTTTGGGGGAGCTGGGCACTGTCCTTGTATCACGGAGAGCTTTGGGGTCAGAGCTGGGACTTCAGCGTGGTCCTCCCTGTTTTTCAAAGGCGTTCCTGACTGCGCTGTTCTGCCCTGCTCCCTCTGTTTCTATGTTGCATTCTGAGGTCCGTCTTGGTCTTGGCACTGGCTGGCCGGTGTCTGCCTCCAGAACGCTGCGGCGTCTGTGGTGTTCTGCCCACGTGTGTTTGGCTCCGTGTCAGGCCCCTGTGACCCTCTTTCCCTCATCTGTTCCTCCCTAGGGCCCTGCATACTCACATCTGACGGAGTTTGCGCCACCCCCAACTCCCATGGTGGATCACCTGGTTGCATCCAACCCTTTTGAGGATGACTTCGGGGCCCCTAAGGTGGGGGCCACAGCCCCTCCGTTCCTTGGCAGTCCTGTGCCCTTTGGAGGCTTCCGCGTACAGGGGGCCATGGCGGGCCAGGTACCCCCAGGCTACGGCACTGGAGGTGGAGGGGGTCCCCAGCCACTTCGGCGACAGCCTCCCCCTTTCCCTCCCAACCCTATGGGCCCTGCTTTCAACATGCCCCCCCAGGGCCCTGGTTACCCACCACCAGGCAACATGAACTTTCCCAGCCAACCCTTCAGCCAGCCTCTGGGTCAAAACTTCAGCCCTCCTGGTGGGCAGATGATGCCAGGCCCCGTGGGGGGATTTGGCCCCATGATCTCGCCCACCATGGGACAGCCTCCCAGAGGGGAGCTGGGTCCTCCTTCCCTCCCGCAACGCTTTGCCCAGCCAGGGGCGCCTTTTGGCCCTTCTCCGCTCCAGAGACCAGGTCAGGGACTCCCTAGCCTGCCCCCCAACACAAGTCCCTTCCCTGGCCCGGACCCTGGTTTTCCTGGATCTGGTGGTGAGGACGGGGGGAAGCCCTTGAATCCACCTGCTCCCACTGCTTTTCCCCAGGAGCCCCACTCGGGCTCCCCTGCTGCTGCTGTCAACGGGAATCAGCCCAGCTTCCCACCAAACAGCAGCGGCCGGGGTGGGGGTACTCCAGATGCTAACAGCCTGGCACCCCCTGGCAAGGCAGGTGGGGGCTCAGGGCCCCAGCCTGCCCCAGGCCTGGTATACCCGTGTGGTGCCTGTCGGAGCGAGGTGAACGACGACCAAGATGCCATTCTGTGTGAGGCGTCCTGCCAGAAGTGGTTCCACCGCGAGTGCACGGGCATGACTGAGAGCGCCTACGGGCTGCTGACCACTGAGGCCTCTGCCGTCTGGGCCTGCGATCTCTGCCTCAAGACCAAGGAGATCCAGTCTGTCTACATCCGCGAGGGCATGGGGCAGCTGGTGGCTGCTAACGATGGGTGACTGCCCGGTGGTCTGGGGAAGTGCACACGTCCCTCCCTGCTCTTCCAGGGTGATTGTTTCGTGTCTGGCTCTTGGTCCTTGTTTCCGCTGGTTTCCCATCCCCGTGGAGCAGAAGCAGTGGCTCCTGGGAGCAGAAAAGGAACTGAGGTGGGCAGGCGGAAGAGCCGGCGCGTGTCTCTGGAAACTCACGTGCGTTGAGATCTGTTTGCAGAGATCCAGGAAACCAAAGTCCTGCTGAGCAGAGCTGTGTGTTTTGGTGGCCATCTGGAAGTCTAGGAGCGTGGCTGCAAGAAAAGAAGTGGACGGAGGCAGACCCCAAGGACCGGGGTGTCCGCCGGCGGAGACGGATGCCCTGGACACCCCTCTCTAGGCCCGCAGCTCCAGCCTTAGCTTTTGGGGTCAGAGTGTTTGAGAGGTCTGGCCCCATCCCTGCAGTAGCCTTTTTGTGGGCTCTGGGAGACAGCTTTGAGGAATACGTGGAGAGTTCTCCCTCACCTTCCTCTCCCCTCCCTTCCCCTCCCCTCCCCTCCCCTCCCCTCCCCTCCCCTCCCCTTCCCTTCCCCTCACCCCAAGACCCACCCAACTCCTCCCCCTTCAGAGAACCAAATAGCTGGATGGAGTAGGAGGGCTCCAGGCTGTGGCTGTCTTTGGTGACTCTTTGGGCTTCGAGACAGTGGGCCGGAGAGGCTGTCGGGAACATTTTCCTGATACCAAAGTCACTGGGCCTTTCTCAGCCTCTCGTGCTTTTCTCCTAATGGCCATATTTTTTGCCAAAAACGAGGTTCCGTGGTCTGAGCGACCAGAACATTAGACGTCTAGGCTGTCCTGAAGTCTGCACTCGGGTGGCTCGCCCCACCCCCCACCTTGTCCATCTGTTGCACATTATACTCAGCGCTGATCTGAAACTTTGCCCCGCGCTTGCTTCCCTGCCTCCCTGGCTTGATTGGAGGAGGGCTGGAGAAGGCAGAGCCCTTATACCTCATTTTCCCTCCTGATAAAGGATCCAAGAGAGGCCCTGTCATGGCCCTGTGGGTAGGGGGAGGCCCTGGGATCCTCACTGCCATGGTACTAAAAGGTAGAAGAGCCTGGATTGTTTTGCTGCTTTTTCCTTGCTGTTCTTTCTTACCATCTTGGGCCCTCTCAGCCAGCGCTGCACTGGTGTTTTTTTTTTCATTTGGTGTTTTTTCTTTGTCTGGTCGCACGACTGCCAGTCAGAGGTGGGACTTGGGCCTATTCAGGAGCCCCTGACAGCTGCCCTTTCTTCCTTGCAGCTGGTACACACATTCCTCAAAGGGGCGGGGGAGGCAGGCACAGGGTGTGGTGGCAAAGGCCTGCCCTCTGTGGTGTGTGCCCCCCACCCCTGGCACTGCCCTGATGGAACCAGCAGACTGAGGCTGTGAGAAAGAAGAGGGGGCTCCGGGCTGCTCTGGCATTGTGGCACTCACCCCCCACCCTTCTGCACTGAGACAGCATCGGTGGCACCTCCCTACCACTCAGCTTGGTATTGTGTTTGTGGTTCTGTCTGCCCCTCTTTGTTGCTACCCATGACGCCTACATGTTTTGTAAGTGGCTCCTGGGAGAGCTGTCTTTCATCTGCCCTCTCCACTGCTTTTTCGAAGTGGGGTGGCAGAGGTGTGGTTGTGTGTGGGGGGGTCTTTTGTATGGTTGGATTAATAAAATGACTTGAAAAGCCAGACCAGGACTCCTTGCTATTGATGTGGAAAAAGGCTGGTGGCACCACTGTCACAGCCAGGAGGGAAGGGGCGCTTGGGAGGTGAGGATAAGTATTTGGCACAGGGCCCCTGGAGGCGGGAGTGGGAAAAAGCCTCAGGCCCCTGGCTGACCCTGGTAGAAGCGGTAGAAGGGGCTGAGCCGAGGAGGCCAGTGTTCTCCCCTCCCTCGTGTCCTGAGAAGCGAGTTTCCTTTCTGAGCACATTCCTGGGCCAGGCCTGGAGCCAGGCTGCAGACTTGGCTCCAAGGCTTCTGATTGTGCTGGGGGGTCCAGTGTAGCTCCGAGGGTGAGGGGAGGGGCCGACCCAGTGTAGCAAATTTCACTTCAGGATGCTTGTCAGCGTCCCTTCC